AATATTTTACAAGTTTTCATTTACCTTATCAAAACTAATATGAAAATCAACCTTTCCCACTGCAGTACCTAGGAAGACTTCAGTTGTAGTTGAAAAGATGCTTATACGCTAAATGAAGGGCATTACCTTACTTATATGATGTTTTCTAGATTTTTGTAAAACTAGATAATTTGTACTGACACAAATTCAAAAGACGCAAATGTAGTGTGAAGGTGAGCACCTAAGTGTGGTGCAAAGCACCATTTTATTCAGTCACAGCCAGTATTATTAGCTTTACCAGATGGGGAAAAAAGTGAACTGAAATTTCATGCTTCTGTCTTTCACTTTCATGTGATTTCTTCATAGCTCTTATCCGTGATACACACTGCATGGTGGGTTAGATTTTTAACAACTGTAACTCTACGTGACTCTAAATTTCCCTTCATTTCGATGCTGCATCTCAGAACTAGCAAAAATACCCAGAGATGACAGGTTTCACTGAACTCTTAATTTCAAATGTCAAATGAATACTCAAGCTGTCAAACAACCCTTCTCTATGTCTGATATACGGCAATTGTCTCAGCTGTCAAAACTACAAGCAGTCACCTTCTCTTCTTCCCATAAACTACCAATAGTCTTTCCTCCCATTCTTTAGCCAAAGCCTTTGACTCCTGTTTAATTTACAAAACAGCCCAGACAGGAACTCTTCATTCTTCGCCAACCACACTTACTGTCCATGCCACACTATGCCTTGAATCTACAGTGCATGGAAGGCAAGCCAGATGCTAGTGATCCATTGCCCTCTTCTCTTAACTCTGTACACTATTTCGTGATTATCTTAGACCCATGGTTTTATACTCTCATTTATACTCTCATCTCCAAATTCATTTGTCTAAACTAGATGTTTGAAAGGCACAGCAAAATTTACATGGCCAAAAATCTCTTGAAGATAAACACAAGCACTTTTCCTGGACACATCTCCCTGGGCAAGGGAAACAAAATAAAAAATGAACAAGTGGGACTACATCAAACTAAAAAGCTTCTGTGCAGCAAAGGACACCATCAGTAGAACAAAAAGTACCCTACAGTATGGGAGAATATGTTCATAAATGAATCAGTTTATAAGGGGTTAACATCCAAAATATATAAAGAACTCATACACCCCAACACCAAAAAAATAAATAAATAAAATAACCTGATTAAAAAATGGGTGGAGGACCTGAACAGACACTTCTCCAAAGAGGAAATGCAAATGGCCAACAGGCACATGAAAAGATGCTCCACGTCGCGAATCATCACGGAAATGCAAATTAAAACCACAATGACATACCACCTCACACTAGTTAGGATGGCCATTATCCAAAAGACAAAAAATAACAAATTCTGGTGAGGATGTGGAGAAAAGGGAACTCTCTTACACTGTTGGTGGGGATGAAAATTAGCACAGCCATTGTGGAAAGCAATATGGAGGTTCCCCTCAAAAAACTAAAAATAGAAATACCATTTCATTTGGTAATTACATTCCTAGGAATTTACCTGAAGAAAACAAGATCTCTGATTTGAAAAGACACCCCTATAATATAAACCCCTATATTTATCACTGCACTTATTGTAATAGCCAAGATATGGAAACAACCCAAGTGCCCATCAACAGATGAATGGATAAAGAAGATGTAGCACATATACATGATGGAATGTTATTCAGCTATAAAAAGAAAAGAAATCCTCCCATTTGCAATAACATGGATGCATCTAGAGGATATTATGCTCAGTGGAATTAGTCAGGAGGAGAAAGACAAGTTCCAAATGATTTCACTTATTTGTGGAGTATAAAAACAAAACAAAACAGAAGGAACAAAAGAGCAGAAAACTCAGACACATGGAGAAGGGAATAGTGGTTACCAAGGCGGGGAGGGGTTGAGGAGGGGTGAGGTAGAGGGTGAAGGGGATAAAGGGGCACAATAATTTGCAATCACAAAATAGAATGGTCACGGGGATGGTAGTACAGCACAGAGAACACAGTTAATGACTCTGTAACATCTTACTATGTTGACAGATGGTGATTGCACTAGAGGGGATGAGGCTTTAATAATATGGGCAACTGTTGAACCACAGTGTTGTATATTTGAAGCCAACATAAGATTGTATATCAATGATACTTTAATAAAAAAAAAAGAAAAAGAAATCTCCTAAAAAGAAAAAAATTTTTACATGGCCAAAACAAAACGCTCCTCACTTCTCCCAAACTATAGTCCTTCCATCTCAGCAAATGCTCACCACTGTCCACTTGGTTAGTCAGTGCAAAAACCATGGAGTCATCTCGGACTCCTCTCTTTCTCCCAATCCACTCACATTCATAAGCAAGTCCTGCTGGCTCTGCCTCCAAAGAACATTCATCATTTCTCTGTCCCCCTGCTACCACCTTAGTGCAAGCCCATACCTCTCTGATCAGACCCAAGATGGCCAACGTGCCTCCCTTCTATTTCCCCAAAGTCTAATGGCTAAGCAGCAGCCAAAGTACTCCTTTCGAAGGACAGGTCTGATTGTGTCTCTTCCCTGCCTTTTAGAATGAAATATATATTTCCTAGATGGCCTCAGAGGCTTTAGCCGACCTGCTCATCCTCCTCTCTGATTTCGACTCCTGCCACTCTTGCCTCATGCACTGTGTTCAGCACACTGGATTTTTCTTTTTTCCTATTTTCGGAACACCTCACACTCTGGATTGCTTCCATCTAAATGCTCTTTCCCTGTATCCTCTCACTACCAGCCCCTTCTCACTCAAGGGACCATCTAAGTTAAGGCAGCTTCCACCCCACCAGTTGCTTTCACATCACTCTTTTTATTTCTCCATAGGAAATTATGTTGCTCATTGTTTTTTTTTTTTTAAACCATCTGTTTCCTGACCTTGCACTATAAGCTACACCAGAAGAGAGCCTTGTGGATCTTGCCTGCTGCTGGGTTCCCAGGGTCTGGCACACTTGACTAGCAAGTAGAAGGTGTTCAGTACATTATTTGCTAAATGAATACAGACAGACTGTAATAATTAAAGTCACTTAGTCTGAACCATTAATCTAGCATGTAAACCTCTTAGCAAGTGACCTGAGCCCCAGAATCTGCCCAGTACCTGCCAGTCACTTGTGCCTGGGATCGCACTGCTCCTGGGGCTGGCTATTCCATCCCTCAACAGCAGGGATGATCCCAAAGCCCTTATTCCTCCTCAAGCTGAAGTCTCACTGCTGTTGTTTCTGTTTGTGGAGGCCCTTACAACGATGCAGAATACATTTCCTGTGTTTTACATAAGACAATGCTTCAAATGGGTGAAGGTGGTGCTTGTTGCCTTCTCATGGCTGAACAGCCACAGTCTTCTCAACAGCTCTTCACAAGGCCGAGCTGTGAGCCTTACCACCACTCGGGCACACCCCACAACTACCCTGAATTGCAATGCAGTCACGTACTTGGCTATCAGCCACACAAATCTGGCCCAATTTATCATTTCTCATCTGGCTGGATCAACTAATCTCTTTCTTAGGAAGCACAACCTGATTTAAGTTAACTCTTGTCTCCTTCCAGTTCAAGCCCACACACGATCCATGTATCTTTCATACTTCAATCTCAGTATATCAGTCACTCCTCATTTGTGTCCCAGAATCCCTGACACTGTTTGTCATTCTCAGTACAAGCCACCACTCTTATCCTTTGGAGGAAAGCCTCCTGGTCTCCTTTCTTGCATAAAGATCCTGATTTTCCACACATGTAACTTAATTAAAAGCTCTCTTAATTTTCACAAAGGTGGCCTGAGACCAGCACTATTTCTAACCAGCAGCAAGGGAGTCACAAAAAGGAGTCACAAAAGGGCCCTTCTGTCTACCATCACAATAGATCTGAAGTTGGAAAAGCAAGGTGGAGTCACTGGTGGTGTCCTGGGACAAACTGGGGCAATCTTGGACAACATGAGACCTCTACTTTTTTCACTTCCTTGCTTCTCTAAGAATAGCCAAAGAAAACAAGAATTACCCTAACTCAGAATAAGGGTTATTTTACACTACTGTGCACAGCAGCACTGTTTTAGAACTTTCCATAATCTAGCTGTCCTCCCTTTACCCCCACAGCACACTGCCATCTCATTTAAATCCTTTGGGTTGGAAAGTTAATGATTAGATAAGAAAATACGGTTTGGTCATCTGAAAACATTCTTTATTTTTGTAGTTTCTTAACACATTGTGGTAAAGAGAATAACCTTAACGAAGTAGGCCGAAGAATAAAACTGTATTAACATACACCAAAAGAGTTGAGGTAATGCTCAGAGGGCCAAAATACTGGCCAGAAGGTGACCAGAATGATCCAGGTGTGTGACTAGCTGAGATTTAGGAACAAAAAATCCACTCAAATCTACTGCAGCAATTTTTTTGTACTTAAATATATTCTGAGGAGTAATGATTTCAAATAAAATGACATGGGATCGGTCTATCAGTATTCTGCCTTTGACAGGTACAGCAAAGTTTGTGGGAATCCAGATAATTACCTTCTGTATCTGCCTCAATAGATTAAAATGATGCCTCCTTAATTCTTCCCTGCTCCTTAAAAATATATTCCCTTTACAAAATACCATGTATTTCCCTTTACAAAAATCTTATTTTCAACCAACATGTCCCTGAAGTTCTGAGTGGTGCTTCCCAGTTCCAAACCTATGGGATTTAGTCAGTAAGTCTTATTAATATCATCCAGAACCAGATGGTCTTAAAACAAATATGAGTATTATTTTAAACCTTTATTTCACTAATGAAATAATGTATTATGTGCCTGGGGCTGTACAGAAAAACACAGTAAGTAATGTATCTTCTAATATAATTATAGGTCCTATTCACTCTAGAGTTCTAACCTTCTGAAATCTGTTCTTAGAGGAGTGTTCTTCCCTCTCATCCACTAAAAGCTGTTCCTCTCAACTCAGTTTTCCTTTTATGAACCTCCACCAAGTTAAGAATTGAAAACAAACTATGAAGTCAATTTAAAACTTAACGCACAACATTGTGTGATCTTCTGGATGTTGGAAGAGATTCGCTGGGCCAGCTGGGCAGGGTCACCACCAATTCCTGGAGTGTAAGACATAGCTGATTTGCTTATTCACCAATTTCATCAGATGTTGGTGGGCTGAGCAGTTTCTAAATGGTCACCTAAAAAACATAAAAGTGACATAATTATATTTTTACAGTTATTGACTTACCCTTTCAAAATTACTAATCAGGGAGGTTGATTAATCTAAAAGGGTTAAGATCTAGCAAAGGGACAAGTTAAGAGGTAAAACTCCTGCCTATCAAAAAAACTAGACTTTACCTCCAAGTTGTAGGTTTAAAGGACAGAGTCAAGTTAAACAAGTAAAACAAGATTCACATTGTTTATATATTTTCTCCTTAACTCAACTGCAAACAACTGTAAGGCAGAGCCCACGTGTTATCTTCCTCCAACATTTAAAAAATTCTGGGCACAGAACTGGTATTTCAATATTTATTAAATGGAACACAGACTTAATGGTACACCCTAGAAATTTCATTCTATGTAATTTAGCAGACACAGGAACAGCTAAGGAACATATGACTAATGGGTCTCTAATTTTAATGGAAAGGTCAAATGTGAGAGAGCAGATGCTCTAAACACCTTCCCACCAGAGAAGAACAACTGTCCTTTTCCAGAAGCCAGCACCTTAGGAGAGGAAGGGCAGCCGAGAAAGATATGGGACGGAGGTAGATGACATTCTTTTCTTCTCTAATTCACACCCCACCTGGGAAAAAGAATGAAAAGGGGTGCCCCGGCATACACAACCGTGCACAGCAAAGGCTTTCAACAACTCTGACACCCATCTTTTCACTGTGTGCGCACTGAATACTTACAAGTTGTAGGCAGTTAATTTGCAAGTCAATGCTCTACTAAGAGTCTGCCACATGCCCAGCATTAAATGAAGCACTGCCGAGTTGCAAGCAAACAAACAAAACAACGAAGATAAAGATTCTGCTCAAATCAAGTCTGTCATTAGGAGAAAGGATAAAGTTAATGATATGAAACAGCAAAAGCCATACAAGTCAGCAAAAGCTCATATGTAGGCAAAAGTGACAGGACTACAATAAGGAAATACCACTACTGCTCTGATCTAGAAAGAATTTATGAAAAGAGAAACATAAGATTTGGATACCTGGGTATGACCAGTATAGAAAAACAACAAAGGCAAAGACATGAAGTCTGGGTCGGATGGACTCAGAACATGTGAACAGGGCAAATGCAGTATGTCATCTACCAAAGAAGGGGAGGCTTCTGGTCAACCCTGGATCAGATGATTCATGGCTGGGACGAATGGGAGACAACACAGGAAGGAGTTGGAATGAACTAACATTCCTGTGCAATGAAAAGCATTTCACATTGACTGTCTAATTTAATTTTCTAAATCTCCCCTTCAGAGTAGGTAGTAGTGAATAAACCTTGTCTAACAATAAGCAACTATAGCTTATAAAGATTAACTGGCAAAGTAACCCAACCCAACCATCAGGTGGAGGTGGGATTCAATCCCAGGTTGCTGGGTCCAAAGCTATCCATGTTTGCTACCACACAAAACTAATGTCACAGAAGAAGGCAGGTCTGGATGCTAAGGTTTACTCTGAATACACTACAATAAGAAACCACTGGAGATTTTTGGTAGGATAGAAGAGGTCACAGGGAAATACATGTCTTTGTTCTAAGGGTCAGTGTTGGCAGAAGTGCAACAGCTGAACTGTCAAGATGGGTAGGACAGTACTGGTTCTATGCCTGAAACTTTGGTACATCGTGGGATGAGCCCGACTGCCCTGGAGATTCTGGAAGCTTTGAGATGCTCTCCATTCTGCTTCATGGATCCACAGGTCCAGTTGATCTATTCTGCACCTCCCCAAGTCCTAAAGATAGACCCCAAGCCAATTTCATAAAAGGGTAAATGCAAACCTCAACTCAAAGACAGCAGAACAGCTGGAGCAGGGTAGCAGGAATGAACTTCCCTGCAGGTAGCCCTGGACCTGGGCCTGCAGCTGCCTGAGGAGCTGGAGCTGAGATAGAAATGAGACCATTCCCCAAGCCTCCCACAAACCACCAACTGGATCTTTAATTTCTGCATTTTTTTTTTCAGTAAGAACTTGAGATGTAATTCATATATCATATGCTCCACCCATTTAAAGTGTAAAATCCAACGGTGTTTTAAAATATTCACAAAGTTGTACAACCATCATATCACTTTGAAAACATTTCATTACCCCAAAATAAGGCCCATACTCATTAGCATCACGTCCCCATTCTCTCTGGCTATGCCAGCTATAGGCAACACTAACCTACTTTATGTTCTTTGAAGGTTTACCTATTCTGTACATTTCATATAAATGGAACCACACAATTTGTGTTCCTTTGTGACTGGCTTCTTTCTCTCAGCATGTTTTCAAGGCCCATCCACAGTGTAGCATGAATCAATACTTTTTCTCCTTTTCATTGACTAACAGTTCATTACATGGATAAAGACAGTTTTCTCCTGGCTCAATGACATCCTTCTTTTTCCTTTCCATCAGCTTGATCACTTAAAAAAAAAACTGGCTCACAGCCAATGCAAACACACTGAATGAGGAAATGTTCCTTTTTCTTATTTATGTGCTCTTTAGAGGGCGCTCCTCTATCCATGTTCACAAATGAGTCTGACATCCATGCCTCTTAAGTCACACTCTTAACTCTAGTGTCAACATGTCTGTGAGGCTACAGGAACCCACCAACTGCCTCTAATAGCCTTTTCAGCTGCTGGTGCAATTGGCAACCGGAAATCTCCATGTTGGGCAAGATACCATTGTGGGCCTCGCTGCCAGGATCAAAATGAGGTAATGCATGTCTAGGGGCCAAGAGCTTTTCAACTCAGGGAGGAAAGGTATGATCTGCTCTTGGATCTGCAAAGCCAACATGGACAGATCCTGACAACCTTTCCTTCATCAGAACCACAGCACATCATTACCTGAAGCCTACTCTCTCCCCAGTAGAGGGGGTGTGGTCACGGCATCTTGTCAATTTGAGCTTAGTATTGAAGCATTCTCCTTCACTAAAAACTCAGGCAAACCCAGTCTAAGCCTTCTCAGTTTTCTTTTGAGGCCCCCTTTTTTCCCTCTTTACTGAATCACCCAATAGCTACAAACCCTACCAGTTTTCCTCATTCCTTTACTCAAGGGCCTAAATGTGGGAAAGTTCCTGCTGGTGAGATAATGGGGCTTCATCCACCCAGAGAGCACCTACTGTTGGACTGAGTGTAATTTCCTTAGAGAAAGGGCACAGCAGTGATCACTTTGGCTCAATGTTGAGTGAAGCCTGAAAAGAAATTGTAAAATGATGGAAGAGAAAGATACATAAAAACTCAACAAGATCACCAGCAAACTTAACTATTTCCTGAGCACTCTGCTTAGGACTTTTACATTTATTTCCTCAGTTGATTCTTACAACAAGCCTATGACCTTTCATATGAAGAAACTGAGAAATAATGAGAATAAGCAGGTTGCTTCATGTAAGAAGAGAGTTATAATTTGAAACTAAATCTTAGAGCTCACATTTAAAAAACTAAACCATATTGCTTCCTTGTATAACAAATTAAGGATACATGAACCCAACCAATTAGAAAACCCAAATTTATCACCCTTTGTCGACCCTGTATGAAGTTTTGCTAAATCAAGTTTTAGGATGAGGAAACTGACTTGAGATAACTACATGTGTGGATCAAGCTAACCCAGCGAACAGCTTTCTCCTTTTCTGTCTTATCCTGTTAATAATGATATCCAAAAGACAATGGTTGGCTCTTCTGATGAGGAAAAATGAGAAATACAGGAGCCAAATGACTGATTTTACTGTAAAAAATACATACACACATAGATTGGACAGCTAACTAAACTGACTTTTAAAGTGCATAATCTTTGCAAATAGGCTAAATCCACCAGGTTATTCTGATGTCTGCTTTTCACGTCAGTCTCCAGCACCTAGCACAGCTAAAACGCGCTTAAGTACTCTTGCTGAGTACTTGTGAAAGCCCAATCAGAATTCCTAGTTTTATTGCTTATTATCTCTACCTACACTATCAAGTGTGCAAATATCACATGTGTGGCCAGCAGCCTGCACAGCTCACATGCAGAGCATTTCCACCATACTCTAAGTTCTACTGAACAGTGCTCATCTAGTCATCTTAATAATTACCTTTCTATGAAGATACATAAAAACTATAAAGGGAAAGAAGGAAAGAGAGGATCAAGTGCAATATTTATAATGAGAATCTTCTTAAGACTGTTCTCAGAGCACCAGTGAAAGAACAAACAAAGGGAGTTTTAAAATGGAATACTGAGTGTTAAACACTACTCCCAGTTACTTCTGGGAACTGCAGAATCCTTAAGGTTAGCATTAAGCATGAATCTCATGCTCTGTGAATCTCAGCATGGACAAAGCAACAGAAATAGTTTTCTTAGTTGTGAGCACCAGCATGAAGCACTGGCCTTTCCTCAACCCTCTGTCTCAAAATGTAAGTTCCCAGAGGGGAAGGGGTTTTTGTCTAGTTTTGTGGACTACTGATCTTTTCTGAGGACCTGACTGTATAACAGGTGTTTCAGAAATATTTTAAAAATGAATGAATGCACCTATTTCCTAAGAACACACACCCATCCTGAGAAATGGTAACTATTTACCATTTCTAAGACACTGAATTCCAGTGCCTTCTTTCAGATCCTGAATGTCCCAGGTGTATTACTGCCTTGGAGCCTTTGCTGGGTGCCATTTCCTATCCTGAGAAGGCTCTTACCACGATCTCCTGGGACTGGCTCCTTTTCCCCAACACAGTCTCATCACATGCTAGCAAAGCCTTCCGTGGCCACCCTGACCTGCAGGGAGAAGTCAGTAACACTGCCACTCTCTCCTGGTCTAGTTTATGACCTCATAGTGCTAATCCCCATTTAAAATGATCTAGTTAGTAGTATTTATCCCACCTCTGGAATATAAATATGAGAGAACCTTGTCATCTTGTGGAACCTACAGTGTCGGCTGCACAGTGGCTGTTGCATGAATGTGAGGCTGATGGCTCTATGGACATGAGCATTCTTACATAAACAACATTCACTGTTCTTTAGCTTAGCTGCTCCATCAACTACTCTACTATTCCTTTTAGTTCACGATCCCAAGGATTATTTTTAATCCTTTCATACACTAAACTTTCAAGTTAAATGGAATCACGGCAAATTTTACTCAGACTTTACTGCAGGTATTTTTTTATAATTTATTTTCCAACTACCAGCACTTGGCTAAAGTTTGGGATCCTAACCAAAATTAGGACCTACTTTGTTATTGGGAGTAGCAGAAATAAAATAACTGAAGAAAAATGATGTAGACCTTAATAAGTTAATATGGTATCATATTAACTTTAGAAACCTTGAAACTAGAGCGTAAGTCCTAATTAGTCACAAGTCTGAGACAAACTTCTCAAAGTGGCCTGCAAACCAAAGGCTTGTCCACATCACAAGACACAGTGTAAGGCTCTGTGCCCGGGTGAGACTCAAGACAACCCCAGAAGAAACGTCCACCATCAATATAACTAAGGAGCACAGCACTTCATAATCATTTTCTCTTCCTCCAGATTCTGTGAAAGTTTTAAATTATAGTCAGAATACATTGATCTGAATTAAACAAAAATTACTGTGCGTGTGTGTGTATAAAACAAGCAAATACAAGAAGCTTGCGCAAAAAAAAAAAAAAAAATACAGCATTTGACCAGAAAGGCAATGCTGTTTTTTCTTTTTGTCTCTATTTAAAGGAAATAACAACCCAATATACATGGGGAAGAGGAGGCATCTTGAAATATTTTATGTATTGTTAAAGGTCTTAATGTAAACAAATTAAATGACAAGCACTGAGAGCATCAAAGAAAACGTGCCATCATGGCAAACAGAAAATCAACTACAATGAGCCTCCGAATACACGTATGTGGTTCCTTTCTTGTAGCCACACATTTCCAGTTCCTCTGTACTCGGGAAGAGAACTTTAGTGTTCTCTAATCCGTGAGTTAAAAAGAGGAAGAGGTCGGTTCGCGTCTTGCTCGAGGCAGAAGCTGGATTCCTGAGCTCGGCCTCCGCCGCTTGGGCGCGGCCCGGCGCGGCCCGGCGCGGGTGCACGCAGCCAGCCGGCGGGTGCGTCTGGGCGAGCGCGGCCCGGGGAGGTGTCCGGGCGGCTGCGCGGTAGACGTGGGGTTGGCGGAGCGGCCCTCGCCGGCCTCACCGTGCCGCGCACCCGCACCCGGCCAGGAGGCGCGGGAAGCTGCGGGCGCTGCCGAGGTGGGGCAGCGCCGCCCTGCTGCGGCGGCGGCCACCTGACAACGCGCACAAACAAGGAGGCGCGGCAACCTCGACAACGCGCCTCCAGGGCGCTCGGCCCGGGACCCTTCCCCAGGCTCCTCTTACCCGGACCTCCTCGACTTCCTCCTCCTCCGGCCGCGGGATCCCACCTGCCCCAGAGACCCCAGCTACAGTCCTCAGCTGATGGGCGGTGGCGCTGGTACACCCAGTGCGCATGCCCGCAACGCAGTCCTGGGAAGGAGGCGGGGTTCGTTCCCTTCCCATTGGCCAGAGAGGCTGAGTGATAGCTTCCCTTCCCGCCCCACTCAGGTTCTAAGCAAAGGAGTAACAGAAAAATTGCAAGGGAGGTGGTCTTTGAGGTTTTATGTACAGACGGTGATGCCTCACTCTGCGTGCAAAAAACAAGAGGAGGGGTTGGAGAGCAGCTCTCTTCTTTATCTGGCGATGCTGCGTCCCCTGGACTCATGTCTTCAGCCTGCTCCGTTAAATCATGCCTATCTTGTTTCCTAACCTTTATCTGCAGTAGACTGCATTCATAGCTCCATTTAAAAATGTGGTCGCAAACATGCACTCCTAGTAAGAACAATGAAAGAATAAATGAAGAGCCACCTCCATGTGTTCACTTAGGACAAGTTTTTGTAGCACATACGAGTCATTCTAAGCATCCTTGAGGAGCAGAGAGTAGGTTTCACAGGGTTTGAAAAGAGCAGGGAATGTTCTCATGATAACTATACAAACATAATGTAATTGTTAGGTAAAAACCACAGGAGAAATAGGTGAAGAGGATGAAGAGGTACAGACTTCCAATTATAAAACACTTAAGTCACAGGGATGAAAGTACAGCATAGGAAATGTAGCCAATTATATTGTAGCAACTGTATGGTGGTGAGCATTTCATGATGTATGTAACTGTTGAATCACTATGTTGTACACCTGAAACTAATATAATATTGTATGTCAACTATACTTCAGTTTAAAAAATATTTTTTTAAGCATCAATTGCTTCAGGTGAAAGAAATACCAAATTAATGAGAGATTTGACCTTTGCTTCTATCAAGGAAACACTATTTTCTGAAAGAATCCTGAGGATATCGAAAGTCCAGATGCACTTAAGTGGAATAAAACCCCCAAATATTCTGATTTGGTACCCCTTGAGTACATTCTAAGTTGTTTTGGTATTTATACATATATATGTATATAAGTGAGTGAGGTTAGCCAGGGATAATAAATACAAGGGTCTCTCTTTATTTTTCATGTTTATATTTTTAACAGAAAAATATGCACAAAATATATTTCCTATTGCTCATCTTTCCTGAAGAAACTACAGTGCAATTATAATAATAAACAGCAACTTATACTCTGCCTCTGTGAAGAAAGAGCAATAGAGAGAGGTGGGCATGCTGGCCAAGCAGAAGGCACAAATCCCATCTAAAAAGGCAGCATGACTCAGCTAGAACCAATTGTAGACTTTTAGGAATATGGCTCCAATATGATCAAATTATCTGCTTTGTCAAAATGTAGTGGAAATTCAGATTTCTATGTGAAATCTTTTTTTTCAATATTAAATGTTTATAAAACACTCTGTGAACAAATAGGTATTTCATCCTCTATAACAAGCAATAGTTTTAATCATAGAGTATTAAAGATGGAGAGGGCCTTATAGGATATCTAGCTCTACATCATCATTTAGAAAGAGATTAAAGAAAATGAAACTGAAAAAATCTTCATCAAATCACACAGATAAGTACAAGCAACACAGATACAAATGATATAATTCAAAATCTTCAATTCTTCCTATCATATTATTTGCTCAGCAAATATTTATTGAGAAACTGCCATGTGCCAGGTAACGTGCTATGCACTGCAGATATAAAGATTAGTATGGTATAGTATTTCCCCTCAAGGAGCTCAGGGAGTGAGATCCTTCCTAGGACACTGTAAACAATGCACTGTATATGTACAGATAAAGATTTGTACACAGCACAGTGGGAGCCCAGAGATAAGGATGACTTACTGTGGGGTCAGAGACCATTCCAAAGGGGAAGTGTTAGCAGAATATTGAAAGATGCATAAGAGTTCGCTATGAAAAGAAGACGGGAAAGGATATTCTAGGCAAAAGGAAGATGACATAACTATTCATAAAACCATAGGCAAGTGCAAACTCTAAAGGATCTCTGTATAATTTTATTTAGTAAAGCATAGTAGGTGGGTTGGAGGGACATGAGACTGGAAAGGCAGGTGGAACTTACATGATGAAAAGCCTCTGTACATTGTTAAATGGGTATCTAATTGGAGTTGAACTATAAGCAAATGTTTCATGTGATCATGATTCCATGCTATGAAGAAAACTCTGGAAAAGTGGGGGAAATTAAAGGGAAATATCACTGAGTCTGGAGGGGTGAAGAAAGAGGAAAAGAAGAGGAATTGAGACCTGTACTAAGGCAAATACATTGGAAAAGAAGAGGTGAGGATTGCTCTAAGAAATATTTGAGAAGACTTGGAAATCAATTAAATATGGAGAATGAAAGAGATGATTACTATTTTTTGAACCTGTGAAGCTGAGCTGAACATGATGTAGCTATGTGAGATCTAAGATTGATAGTAAGGCAATTGCAATTTGAGGATGGAGCTGGGGAAATGAAGGAGAAAGTCACAATAAATTTAGCTTTAGAGGTGTTTTATGTAATATTCTGGGGAAGTGATATCTACTTTGAGATGCCCTACAGGCACTTGAAAATGTGCGCTGGAGCTCAGGTTGCAGTTCTGGCTGGAGCTATGCAAAGAGATGAACTCCCTAACTCTTCCAAGAGGGAATGTTATGGCCCTTCAGTGTGTAAGGAAGGGTAGAGAAAGAAAAACCCTGAAAGGGGGTGGTAATCAGAGAGAGAGGAGGTAAGCCAGGAAAAGGTGTAGTAGAGAATGAAGGAAAACATTTCACAAAGAGGGAATGGTCTAAAATATCACATGTCACAGAAAGTTCCAGTAAATTAAGAACCAAAAGCTGTGCATTGCACTTGAGAATTAGGAAACGGTCAGTGAATATAGGACAAGGCATTTCAATCATTCAAGGAACTGTTGTGCAAAGAACTTAACATCTGCATAGGGTCTTCTGTACTTTTCAAACATCCTTTCATGTTAACTTTGATAGAACCATGTGCTGTCAGAAGGGAAAACACACACTGCTTGGTAGAAGAACCGGAGTCTAGGTGGCCTCTTCAGGATTCCCTGATAGTTACTGACTGAACTGGGACCAAAATTCACTTGTCTGAATTCCCCTCCTGGGCTCCTTCCAATTTCTCATGTTGTAAAATATGAGTGGATTCCTTCCAGGTCTTTTGAAAACTAGGAATAAGATTTCACTCCTTTGTCCTTAAGTGGACAAATATGTATAGTTTAGGTAATCTTGCAGAATTTTGAGGCACAGAGCATAAATGAATTCCAAAAGAGTTCCTGACATAGACTCCCACCTGAGCGTCTGCCTGCTAGTACTTAGTGACATTCAGCCAGGTGTCTTGGACCCAGTAGGGCTCAAGAAGAACACTGATTTGACAAGTGATAATTTTGCTTTTCTCCAAACAAACCGTTTACACTTGTGGAAGTTACTTATGTCTGATGGCTTGTAATTTGGATTGTTACCGGCATACTTGTTGTGTCCTTACTAATAGAAATACCACCTAAATAACTTCTGCGTGTGGGATGAGGCACTCTCCTCTGCTCTATCTCCAGGTTGGGGAAGAGCAGTGCTGGTGAGCAGAAGGACATAATCGCTTGTTCACTTAATAGCTCCTCAACTAAAAAAATGTTTTAAAAGACCACCATGTGATCTTGTAGTAGAGCCAGAGAAGCAAAAGACGCAAAAAGGATTGTATAGCAAGAAAAGGAATGTACGGAGAAACGAGAGGTTCAAGTTGACTTGTGAAAGTTTGTTTTTGATTTATAATACAATGGGAAAATTACAGTTTTCAGAAGTCTGTGACAGATTAAAAAGCAGCTTAAATTAGTATCTAATAAACAGGAGTTTATTTCACCCTGTCTTATTTTTAAGCATCCCCCTCCATCTCTCCATCTCCCTCTACAGTCTGCTTGTTTTGTAAGACCACACAAGCCTAGCAATATGCCAAGCACAGAACAGATTTTGGTCTGTCTGTTTAACCTAGAAGTAATAAATAGTCAACCCACAGGAACCTTATAGACAATTAGAGCATGATGATTGGTATGTTCGTTTCTCATTTTACCTCCTAAATATTGTTCAAACGTGCCCTCTCCTCTCTGTCCATCATTGTCTATGTCCTAATCCACTGCAACAGCCTCCTTTCTGGCATCTCTACCTCCAGTTCTACTCAGTGTTATTATCCTCAGAGCCACCATGGAGCATTTGAAGCACAAATCTGAACACATCACTCCAGGCTTCATGCCATCTCCATGACTGCAGCATGCCCCAAATATACTCTTTAAACATAAAAGTACTTGAGCTGAGCAGGGGTGCAGGGCTGAGTAGGTTGGGGAAACGAATTAGAAAAGGATGTCTATGGAGAAACGTCTTGGAAATTGTATTATGATACATTCATCAAGATTGTAAATTAAAGGCTCTGGAAAGTAGTTCAGTAAAGAAACAAATATAACTTCTTTTAACCTAGTATTTTCTGAATATATTTGACAGTAAAACTTCCTTATGCCTAATAGCTGCAAGGACCTTCAAAATATGCATTATAGAAAACAATGCTCTTGAAATCAAGTTCAAGCCCATTATCATGGCATATAAATAGGGTGACCATACATCCTGTTTGCCTAGGACAGTCCCAGTTTATGATTTTTGTCCCAGTCTCCTGTCTGCAGAGCACCCCCTTTCATTCTCAGAAGTGTCCCAGTTCAAATGAAGCATTGTGTGGTCACTTTATGTTATAAGGACCTACAGGATCCTGCCTTTCTCTGAATCAAAATAATCAAAAGTCATACTCTGGGATATGCTAGCTTCAAGAACTGCTCCCTCTCTTTCTGTCCCTGCCTGCTTCCCACCAGCACTCCACACATCAGGGGTTTTCCTATTTCTCTGCTTTGTTCATTCAGTTCCCTTTAACTAGAATATGTTCCCTCTTCCTCCTCATTTTTAAAATAAACTCTTAATTTTAGAATAATTATAGACTTACAGAAGAGTTGCAAAGATAGTCCAGAGTTCCCATAGACACCTCATTCAGATTCTCCTAATGTTAACCTCTTATAT